GGGGGGGGCGGGGGGTGCGGGGCGGGGTCGCGGCGGAGGGGGAGGGCGGGGGGGCGCGCTGTCGGGGTCAAGGGTCGCGGAGGGCCGGGGGTCGCAGCCGCTCTGGGTCGCTGCTCCGGGCCCGCGCGGTCTGCGGCCGGGGGGCCACCCGAGTGTCGGTCCGCAGCCTGGGGCGGCGGGGCTCGGGGACGGCGGTGGGCCGGCCCTTTGTCCTGGCTCAGCATACGGGGTGGTCCGGGACCGCGGCGTCGGCCTGGCCGAGCGCAGCGGCGCCACGACCCTCGGAAAGAGCCGTCTCGGGTGTGGTCTCGGGGTCGAAAGCAGAGCTGGGGAGCTCGCTTGTCCCACAGCGGGTCGGCGGCCGGAGTCCAGGGGCCGGGCCCTTGTGCGTGCGCGGCTGGTGTGTTGGGGGCCCTGCTCGCTTCGAGGAGGCCTGTATGCGGCCCCTACACTCGCCACCGTGCGGAGTAGGCCCCTCCGAGGAGCTCCAGGGATAGCGGCCGGTGCTTGGGCTGAGCCCGCCCTGCCGCTGGTTCCTGGGCTCTGCAGGCCCGCGCTGCGTGGGCAGGTGGGCGGCCTTGCTAGGCGATCCCCCCTGTTCTCAGTAACTAACTACCTGTGCCAGGTGCCGGGCCCACGGTGATGACCGGCAAGTGGCGGCGACGAGTTCCTGGGGGGCCTGACCAGGAAACGGCAGTTAAGAGTCAGGGGGTGGTGGTGAGGGGAGTGCATGACCTAAGGGCCCAGCAGTTACAGAAGCGCTGGTGCTGGAGGGTGGCTTCCTGTAGGTGGTCTGCAGGCTGCTGGGAATCTTGGGAGCGTTTGATCTGGCTGCTGTGTGTGCCATCCCTGCGTGGTCGCTAGTGTGGGGAATCGAGCCTCGGGCCGGTGGCCTAAGCGACCTGGGTCAGCCTGAGGGGCCGGGGTTTTTCTCAGCGCCGGTTAGCTGCGGCTTCATTACCTTCTGTTTAGCACAGCAAAGCACCTTTCCTCTTTGTGACCTCATGGGGTGTCAGTTCCAGGGCAGGACTACTTGAGTTTTTTCTCATCGCCTTCTAAGCGTACTTGTGTGTACGTTTGTGATGTTATTCGTTAATGCAGAGTCGAGTGACACAGAAGAGGGAACTTTCGGCCCAGATGGATTGCAGCATAAATGTGGTGTGAGTGCTTTTTTACCAAACTGGGTGGCTGAGAGCCAAGAGTCCTCAGTCGCCCGAGAACCTCTCCTTGGTGGCCGCGGGTGTGTATTGTTGCAGTGGGTGTGTCAGGAAACGCCCCAGGTGTGTTTGACTGCCAGCTTTTCACCCTGCCCTAGCCCTGGACTTAAGGGCAGAGACTCCTGTGGGTTGAGTGGGCATGTCTTGTGACAGTTTGGGAGTGAAACTGGACTCTAATCCTAGTATTTCAGGAGAAAAGTGGCTCTTCTAGCCACACTGAGCCTGGGCTTGCTGTGAGATTTTACCACTTGTCATGCTATAGGAATGTGACTACACTATTTAAGAGTCTTTGTTTTCCTCGCGAGGATGCTGTGTGTATTAGGAAAAATCACTCTAGAGAAACAGAACCAACAGGATATACGTAGCTATAGAGAAAGAGTTATTATGAGCGACTGGATCACGTGACCGAGGGGCCGAGGAGCCCCATGAGCTGCCGTCGGGAGAGCTGGGGAGAGCTGGCGTGTAGTGCAGGCCACACCTCAAGGCCAGGCAGTGGGGAGCCCGGGGGATACGGCCCAGTCTACCCCTGAAGGCTCAAGGGCGGGGGGGAAGTGGACGTCTCAGCTCTCACACAAAGAGCAGACTCCTCCTTCCTTGCCTTTCTATTCTGTTCGGGCCCTCAATTGGTTAGGTGATGCCCACCCACCTTGGAGAGGGCCAGGTGCTTTCATCCGTCCACCAACTCATGCTAGTCTCTTCTGGAAACACCCTCACGGACACTACCAGAAACAGTGTTTTGGGAATTCCCTGGCAGTCTAGTGGTTAGGACCCTGCGCTTCCATTGCCAGGGGCTCGGGTTCCATCCCTGGTTGGGGAACTAAGATCCTGCAAGCTGCACGGCAAGGCCGCAAAAAAAAAAAAAAAGAAAAAAGAAAAAAGAAAAAAAATCTTAAAAAAAGAAAGAAAGAAACGAAATGTTTTACCAGCTCTCTGGGCATCCCTTAGCCCAGTCAATCTGACAGATAAAATTAACCATCATGGGTGTGTGAATTCAGAGAGCATCATACCAGTCCAAACCCAGCCATGTCTAACGTCTGTCTTTACTGTGCACTTGGGTGGTGGGGAGACGTTAGGAACCGACAAGGTGTTGAAGATCTTCAGAGGGAAGTTCACTGAATTAAAGACGTTTCATGGGCTTTGCACCCTGCTTTAATTGGGTGTGGGGTCAGACTCCACCCCAGAGTTTCACCTTTACATCTAGAGGGAAGGCAGCCCTAAAGGGACCTCAGTCTTGTCCTAAACAGAGGGGTCCGGAGGAGCTGGCCGCCGGGGTAGCTGGGGGCGGGGGCTCCTTACAGCGGTCCTGCTGCAGAGAACGGGCGCTTCCAGGCAGGTTGCGGGGCATTGGGTGTGTGCACGGGTCCGAGCCTTTGCCCTCTGCCCTCCTCACTCCCCCTTTTCTGCTGAGGTAGTGGGACAGCCAGGACTTTTTGTCTAGGTGAACTTTCTGCCTCGTTTCTCACGTGAAATTGACAGCGCGGGTGCTCTGTGCCCTGTCACCTTGCGGCACGGCCATTGTGCCCGGTTCTGGGGCTTTTCCACTGCTGAGGGCGCTGCCGAATGCAGGCAGCCCTCTGGCCTGTTGTGTTCCACGGTAAATATACTTATTCATTTCCTTGTTTTTTTAAAACATACCTCTTTACACACACTAGTGTGTGTCCTTTTGTGCTTAAGCAGTGACTCACCCAAAACTTTAGGAAGGAACTCAAATGTATCATGAGTTAGTGTGTCCTGAGAACCGTTTTTCTTTTAATTTAGTTTCTCAAGAGCATGAGACTTAAGGTCCTCTAGTCATTGGTGAGGGGAGCCCAAGCTGGGGAGCCCCGGCCACGGCTTCTGAAGTAAGAACAGTGATGTTCAGCCTTAGCGCTCGGAAACTCAGGCCAGATGTTTACATGTCTCTGGCTTTCAGCACAGAGTTTTCTGTTTCCGGGATGAGATAAGATGCAGTGAGTGACTGCTGATGCCCAGTCTCTGAAACAGCTGCAAATGGTTAACGTATTTCCCTGTCTTACTATAAAAAACACCCTGGTGTTTTCAAGGGTGAGGAGGGAACTACCTTTTCTCGGCTCTGAACTGACTTTGAGAGGGCTGTTGAACCTTGGCGTTTCCGGGTTGAGGACCTGCCCGGCTCCCGGCCTTGCTGGGAGCAGGAGAAGGGCGAGGCCATCTCCTTGGCCCTTCCCCTCCCAGGCCTCTCCGTTGACTCATCTGGCCCGTGACCCAGAGACCCCAGGGTGGACGTGTTTTTGGTGTGTATCTTGGAGCCGAGGTCTGTTAGTTCACGCAAGGCCAGTTATCACACAGACTTTTAAATTGGAGAGGCCTGAGAAAAAATTCCCATGCTTTATCACCTGTGCTGCCTGGGGCCTCTCTTACGATGCTTCAGAAGGACTCGGAGAGTGGGTGCGGTAGGCGTTGCGCAGGTCCCCGCCTTACCCCCTGCCCAGCGCTTTAGCAGAAAGAGTTGAAGGAATAAATGGTACAGTGAACTCCTGAGTCCCTTTCTGTTCTTACAGCTTTTGCCGTATTTGCTTTGCTGCTCCCTGTCTGTGTCTGCTTGTTTCTGTTTCTTTTGGCCATGCCTGGCGGCCTGTGGGATCTTCCTTCCCTGACCAGGGATTGAACCCGGGCCACTGCAGTGAAAGCGCTGGGTCTTAACCAGTGGACCACCAGGGAAGTCTCTGCCTGTTACTGTTGTCACCAAACCGTTTGAGAGCAAGTTGTGATGTGGCCATTTACCCTAAATTCACCAGGGTGCATCTCCTAAGGAGGGCATAGCCGGAACGTGACGGTCAAGTCTGCACAGTGACCATTGGTACAATCCCGGACCCTTGATTTAACACACGACTGTACACACAGATCACCGGTTACCTCAGTAGCGTCCTCGGTCCTCTGACCCCGGCTGGCGTGTTGCTTTTAGGTGTCATGTCTCTCAACCTCTATTCTCCTGGAATAGCTCCTCAGCCTGTCCTTGTGCGCAGAGGCCCCTTTGTGGTCCTGTCTGGTTCCCTCTGGTTTGATTCGGGTGCATCTGGGGAGGATTCAGCCACTGGGTGACTGTCCTTCCTGCACCCCTCAGAGGCACCTGCTGTCACTTTGTGCCGTTGTCTTGTCACAGGTTGTCTTGGTGATATCTCTGATCACTTTTCAGGTGCCATTTTCTATTCACAGGTATAAGTAAACCGGGGTGGGGGTGCTCGGAGACCGTACGTAACATCTTGTCCCTCCGCAAACGGCGCAGTGGTCTTGGTGTCCCTGTTTACTGTGACGGAGACTCTTGGCTAGTTGTCCTTCCCTGTGATTATTCTGTGTCCGTGTGAAATCATGGGCGTTCAGAAGGTGAGAGTCCATTACTGTCATTCACTCTGATGTTAAGTTGTGCCACTTTGGCAAGGAGGACCCCCTCCACTCTGGCTTCTGGGTCCTTGTGCCACTTTCTGGCTTAGCAAGCTGTCCAAGGCCAGTGTTGTCCTTTCTCTGCCCCGGTTCTGGCGTTATTGTTCTGCCCGCTTCCTTTTAGTGGGGACGGTGGCTGGAGACCAAAGACCTGGCAACATGTGTGCCGTCCTCTCTCAGCCCCTTGGTGGACAGAACTGGGAATCCGGCGTGTGAGTGAAACCGTCCTCGGGGCTGTTCCCTCCTGCCTGTCCACAGGGCCCCGGGGCCCCTCTCGGCAGTACTCTGAGAAATGGAGGTATTTCGGGGGCCGCCAACTGGCTCCACCTTCCTGGGGCTGAGGGAGTAAAGCAGTTTAGGATCAGCTTGAACACAGACCAAGCAGCATGTCACTGGAGGCTCTGAGGAGGGTGCTACCTAGTAATGACTGCTGTAGAACGGTGCGTTGTGACAGAGTGAGCTTTCATGTCAAATAAAATAGGATTTTGGTGTTTAAAAATGGAACGTGGAAGACTGCTGAATAGAAGAACTCTCCAGCTATTTCAACGCAGCCGTTTACCGTATGAGTCCTGCTTAGCAAACATGAATACAGTTGTAACTGAAAGCTAAAGCTCTTCTCCCTGCACTTTATTAGGAAAGTCTTGAAAAGCAGAGGGAAGTTGGGAGACCTGGGCAGTGAGCGGCCCCCCGCCCACCACCAGGTCTGTCGCATTTTGAAGTTACAGCCGTGCACGCCTCCACCTCCTCTCCGTGCACCTCATCACCAAGAGCTCGGCGTTCACCTCCTTCTTTTCAGGTCAAGTTTACATACAGTGAAATGCAGGAATCCTACGTGTGCCGTCCAGTGAGTCACACCTACGAGACCCTGACCTCCTACAAGCCTCAGAACAGGCCTCTCCAGGAGGTTGGGGCCCCACCCAGCCCATCCTTCCCCCCAGCCCGGCCCCCGAAGATGAGTCTCGCCCGTCCCTGAGCCCTGCGCTGCGGGCCTTTGCGGGAGGCTTCCCCCAACCCATGTCATTTGTAGAGTCATCACGTGTGACGTAGACTTCTTTTTAGGGCTGAAGAGTGTCCCACTGTAGGACTGGACCAGTTTCCCTGTCCATCCTCCAACGACCTCTGTCCCCTTGCCCCTTGGGTGCAGCGTGTTAGGAGGAGGTGGTCCCGGGGAGGGTTGGGTCCTCCATCCAGGTAGGAGGAGCAGGCCGCGCAGAGGCCCTGGCCAGGGAGCCACCTGGCAGCTCTCAGGACCAGTGGGGAGGCCTAGGGGCGTGCGGGGTGCCTGGACATCTGGGCCATTTTCATCTCTCAGCTGTTCCTATACATAAAGTTGCCATCAGCCCCCTGTGCAGGTGTCCCTGTGCACATGTGTTCTGGTTTGTCTTGGGTACGAGACTGAGAGTGGAATTGCCAAGTCTCGGAGGAGCACGTGTTTGTTTTTGAGCCACTGAGCCCACCCCCCACCCCACCCCCATTAGCATCGCCAGTGTTTGTAATGCAGCCATTCTGGTGGGTGTGAAGTGGGGCCTGACTGCGATTCTCACGCGTCTTTCCTGGTGGCTGATGGGATGTGCTCAGGCCTCTTCCAAGTGTGTGTGTGTCTCAAGGGGCGGCGTGGCGTGAAGAGCAGCTGCTTGATGGTGGATTGGAATCCTTTATTCGTACACCAGCTCTTCTGCTTAGCTTGCGTTCCAGATCTGTCAGCTGCTCGGGCTTTGAGCCCTTCCCGTAGCACCTGTGCAGTGAAGAGTGCCCGGGGGTGCAGGGGGTGCTCCGCAGGGTTGGGACCGGCGAAGGGGCCGCGGCCTGGCTTGAGTCTGGCCTGGCATCGCTGTGGCTTCTGGTTCCACGGTGTCTGCTGACAAGCCGGTCAGTGGTGTGCGACCACGCAGGTGAGACGCAGGCAGCTGGCCTTACTGGGCGGCACCATCTTCTCTCCCAGAGACCCCTGGTGTCAGGACCACATGTGTGCTGCTTGTGTGTCCTCCCAGGGCCCTGCTTATAGAGGCCCAGTCTGCGTGCCTTGAAGGCTTGGCGCAGGAGGGGCCGTCTGTTCTGGGCTCTGAGCGTCCCTTGCCCACCCCTCCCTGCATCGATGCCGCAGGATTCTCAGTGATGTTTGTTCTTTCCCCTGCAGGTTGTTCTCAGAACACAAACAGAACCTGTGAAGAGTGCCTGAAGAACGTCTCTGTAAGTAGCACAGGGTCAGCATGTGATCCAGAAGCAGACCCGCTGTCTCTGACTCCAGGGCCGCTTGTGTGTCTTCCGGGTTCTGTGGTCTGGGGTTTGTGGAGGTATTTTTCATGACGGCTCTTAACAGCCTTTCTCAGGCATATTAAACCTTCTAGTGAAAGCTGCACATACCACTTGAGCGTTGTTCACTTCCACTCCTGAAATAAAACACGGAAGTTTCACAAAGCCCGGAACTTGTGTGAGCCCCCGGGGCCCGCAGGTGTGAGCAGAGGTGCCCGGCGGCAGGGTGGGGGCCAGGGAGGCGGGAGCACGTTTAGCCCCTCATCTGCGACTGTTGACCTGTGCCCAGGGCTTTCCCACGGGGCTCACTCCACCTTGGAGGCCTCTTGTCTTACAGACGGGCCCCGAGACGCGGCGGGTGTGCTCGGAGCCCTCCCGGACCCAGCCGGGCTCTCGCGGTGCTGAGGGGGCCTCGAGCTGGAGTGCCTGTGCTCGCCCTCCTTGTGTTGGGGTTGGGGGGTGCCCAGGCCACAGCGGGGTGCACACCTCCTCTGAAGGCCTGACCCCCACTCTGAACCCAGACAGGTGAGGTCAGAAGTGCAGATGAAAGCCAGGGCAGACCCCGCTGCGTGCGAATCCTTAATGCACACGGGCTTCCGGAAGGATCTGCTGTTACCCCTGCATTGTTCACCACGTGCATGTACCTCATTAATCTAAAAAACAAGAGTGACAAACAGCCACGACACCACCACAAAGAGAACTTATCCTCCTAGTGAGCTCATATGGCTTTCGGTAAAACTGTCATGTAAAAACGGAAAATTAGGTGTTTAAAACTTGAGCTATTTGAAAATGGTGGATTTCCCAGAAATTGTTAAGCCAGGAAAGAACCACTGAAATGGAAGCTATTCTGAAACAGCCAAATGAAGAGGGCCTCCCTGCTGTTTGTCATTTTGAACACAAGACACCAAGGTGGACACTGTGTCAGTGGCCCTGGGACCCCAGGTTTCACTAAAACATTTTTCTGTAACAGATTTTAACCCTAACTTGGGACCAAAACATGCCATGACTTTCCATCCTGTTAAAACCTCAAAGAAAAAAAACTTAGTAAAATCTTTACCTTCAAGCTTGAAAATATCCTGAACGTCCTGACCTGGGCGGGTTGTTAGGTTGACCCAAACCTCACATCTGTGCCAGTGCCTGCCCAGCTCTGGGCCCCTCGGCTGGTGTGCTGGCCAGGTCTCTGCCGTGCATTCCAGGGACTCGGGCACACCTACCAGGTTTTCTCCAGCTCTGCGGTTCTGGACAGATGCCCTTGCGCTTTAGTTGAATCATCTTTAAGACAGCCAGCAATAAGACAGATGGCTTGGTTCAGTCCTAGAGATCAAATTAGGATCTTTACAGGGCGATAACCGTGGGTGGACACCACTCCAACTATGCCCGGCTTGGTCCCTCCTGCAGGCGGCTGACGCCTGGGTGCTCTGGGTGTTAGAAGGTGGTGCCTCGGAAGGGAGGCCAGCATCCGGGCGAGGGGAGCAGGCCATGCAGAGGCCCCGGGTGAGGACCAGCAAGGAGGCCGCGAGGCCAGCAGGGCGCCTGGTGGAAGGGGTTTGAGTGAGGAGGGCCTTGGTGGGTTGGCGGCGTTGAGCCAGTGTTGGGAAGGGGTCAGAGGGGGGACAGCAGTGTGGCCGGCGGGGCTGGCGCAGGTCGGACCCTGGCCCGTCTGCCCTTCAGCATTTACGCGTCTGATGCCCTGTCATTGCCTCTTGCAGTGTCTTTGGTGCAACACTGACAAGGCGTGCTTGGACTACCCGGTGACCAAAATCCTGCCGCCCAGCTCTCTCTGCAAGCTGAGCTCTGCGCGCTGGGGCGTGTGCTGGGGTAAGTCACTGTTCCCATTGGCTTCTTGCAAAACCAGTGCTGTTTTGAAAATTCCGGTTGTGCTCAGTTAACGTAAGCTGCCAGGAGTGGGGAGGTGGGGGAGGCCGGTGAGAGCTGTGGCGTCTGGGAAAGTGGCCGGCCCGGGTCTGGAGGCTGCCCGGAAGGCCACGGCCTAGGCTCTGTTCTGCAGGCATCTCCCCACGTCCCGGGGCCATGCGGGTGGCGTGTCAGCACCTGTCTCAGTGTCGTACCCTAACCTGTACCCTAACAGGTACCCTAACCCGTTGTCATACCCTAACCTGTACCCTAAACCGTACCCGTTCCCTAACCCTAACCCTTACCTGAAGCCTTACCCTAACCCGTACCCTAATCCTAACCCGTCACTAACACTAACCCGTACCCTAACACATACGCTAACCCTAAACCCTTGTCATACCCTAAGCTGTACCCTAAACCGTACCCGTTCCCTAACCCTAACCCTTACCCTAAGCCTTACCGTAACCTGTACCCTAATCCTAATGCATACACTAACGCTAACCTGTACCCTAACACGTACGCTAACCCTAACCCTAACCCTAAGCCTTACCGTAACCTGTACCCTAAGCCTTACCGTAACCTGTACCCTAATCCTAACCTGTACACTAACACTAACCCGTACCCTAACACGTATGCTAACACTAAACCGTTGTCATACCCTAACCTGTACCCTAAACCGTACCCATTCCCTAACCCTAACCCTAACCCGAAGCCTTACCCTACCCCGTGCCCTAATCCTAACCCGTACGCTAACACTAACCCATGCCCTAACACGTACGCTAACCCTAAACCGTTGTCATACCCTAACCTGTACCCTAAACCGTACCCATTCCCTAACCCTAACCCTAACCCTAACCCGAAGCCTTACCCTAACCCGTAGACCACTGCGGTGCACTGGTGGACACCGGGCTGTGTGCGGGCTGCCGTGTGCTCCCACGTGGGCTGGACACAGACACCCACCTGCCCTGGGCGTGCGCTTAGGAGCAGACTGCTGACTGGCACCCTTTTCATGTCTAGCCTTAGTCGGTGGGCCACACGTTTCTCAAGAGTGGCTGCCCCAGTTGATGCCACTCCAGGCAGCATGGGGGCACACGGGCTCACGGGGGGTGAGCAGGGGCGCTGGGGGGCAGACTTTGTAATAACAGGAGGGTGCGGTACCCCCGGTTCCTGAGAGAAGGTGCGTTAGCCTTGTTGGGTTTATTCCTCGGGCCTGCAGGGAGCACGGGAGCCGAGTGGGTGGGGCCTTGCGGTCCACCCCGTCGGGGCAGCACCTCACACTAACTCAGCCCTGTGCCACAGGTGCTTTTATTCTTACAAGTAACTGTAGAATCATCTTAACCAGTTCTAGACAAAATTGGGGCTGTGATTGTAACGACCTTAAATATACACGTTCAGGGGACTAGCACGGTGGTTCGGTGGTTAAGGCTCTGCGCTTCTACTGCAGGGACCTGGGTTCGATCCCTGGTCGGGGAACTGAGATCCCACATGCTGCACAGCTCAGCCGAAAGACAGACAAACAAAAACACACACGTTCAGTTGGAGAAGAGCAAGATATTTAAAGTTTGAACCCTCGTCTGGGAACGGGTGTCTCTCTCTGTTCAGGTCTAGTATGTCCTAGGGTAGATTTCTCGGAAGTAAGCCCATAGTTTAGTTTCCCATCACGGTGGGATTTCTGTTTCTGTTTTATAACTGGGTTTAGCTGCTAATCAGAAAAGCTCTTGTGGGGGTAGGTGTATTTTAGAGCCAGCTGTCTCACTGGTCTCATGGGTTTTTGTTTTTTCTTGGTTTCTTTTAAATTTTATTTTATTTATTTATTTTGGTGGCACTGGGTCTTAGTTGTGGCTCGCAGGCTCCATAGTTGTGGCATGCAGACTCTTAGTTGCAGCATGTGGGATCTAGTTCCCTGACCAGGAATCAAACCCACATCCCCTGCATTGGGAGGCTGATTCTTAACCACTGTGCCACCAGGAAGGTCCCTCGTCGGTTTTTAAAGTTGATTGTTCTCGGGACTTCCCTGGTGGCACAGTGGTTGAGAATCCACTTGCCAACATAGGGGACACGGGTTCAATCCCTGGTCCGGCAAGATCCCACATGCAGCAGAGCAACTAACCCTGTGCACCACAACTACTGAAGCCCATGTGCCTAGATCCCATGCTCCACAATAAAGAGAAGCCACCACAATGAGAAGCCTGCGCACCACAATGAAGAGTAGCCCCTGCTCGCTGCAGCTAGAGAAAGTCCCCGTGTAGCGACGAAGACCCAACACAGCCTAAAATAAATAAATTTTTTTAAAAAGTAAATAAAAATAAAGTTGATTGTTCTCGAGTTCTCTAGTCAAAAAGTTACGCCACCTGCAGTGGCAGTGTCCTGTTACTACTGTATCTTGCAATTCTGGCACTTCCAGAACAGGTCAGAGGAGGAAAAACCACATGGTTCAAAGCTCAGAAGGCAGAGCGAGTGCTGTCACACTGGCAGCCTGAGGGGGGCTGGGGGCACCGGGGCACTGGTGTCTCCCTCCCCGACCCGAGGAAGAGCTCTCATCTTCCAGACCCCAGCCCACCCCACCTCCCCCCAACCAAGAAACCAGTGGCACCCGAGCTTAGGAGCTCTGAGCTCTGTGCGGCAGGAGGCTGTCTTGTGATGGTCGCACCGCTGCCCAGGGTGGGGCGGTGGTAACTGGAAGGTGTCAGCCTGTCCTGTGATAGGCTCTGGCTTGAATGTAGTGGAAAAATACCGACTGACTGGTTTTAATTTGTAAATCCTCAAGAGAAGTTGGAAAGAATTGCAACTTGTTCTGAGTGTGTTTGGTCTGGACAGGAAATCACAGTCACCGTTTTCCAGCCCCTGGGCGTTGGCCTGGGCCGCAGCTCCAGCTGGTGCGCTGCCCGCGTGGGCAGACGTGTGTCCTGCTGGCAGCAGATGAGAGGCTCTGGTCTTTGACTTAGATAATCACGGAAGCCGCGTTGGGCTTAGCATCCGATTGCGTGAGATTGAGTTTCAAGTGTTGTAGCAGCTGAGTGCACTGCGGAGCTTCTCTTTCTTCCTGGTTTTGTTAACTTTTCTCGGGTTGGAAACAGCCTTTCAGCATCAGGCGATGAGAAAAGCTACCTGTTGCTTCAGGTTGATGGAAATGGTGACTAAGTCACAGAAGCAGGCTGGAGGAAGGCGGGGGCGGTGGCGGGCGTCCCCGGCCCGTCCTGCGTCCCCCCCCCC